CTTCATCCTGGGCCTGCTGGCCATCAAGGTGGACCACCAGGCCGCCATCTGCGACGCCGGCGCGCTGCCCACGCTGGTGTCCATGATCCGGCGCTACGCGGGGCGCAACGACGTGCACCTGACGGGCGTGCCGGCACAGACGTGCCGCCGCACGTCGGACGCCATCACCAACCTGGCCCACGAGAACAACGGCATCAAGAACAGGGTGCGGCAGGAGGGCGGCATCCCGCCGCTGGTCAGCCTGCTGCACAGCGTGGACCCCAAGGTGCAGCGGGCGGTGGCGGGGTCGCTGCGCACGCTGGCCTTCAAGAATGACGAGAACAAGAACATCATCGTGGACCTGGGATCCCTGCCCCTCCTCATTCAAATGCTGCGCGCGGAGGACACAACCATACACTACGAGGTGCGCGCTGTGGGGCGGCGCTGTGGGGGTTTGCTTGGCCCGCGCCGGGCCAGCCATGGTTGGGAGATGGGGCCACGGTGCACCGCAGGCCCCGCAGCCAGGCTGCACCCTGCCTCCTCGCCGCCGCATCCCCCGCTGCTGGTGCCGCGCGGCTGGCCCGCCCTCCCAGCTGCCCGCCCCTGGCCCTCCCCGCAGGCCGTGGGCGTGATTGGCAACCTGGTGCACTCCAGCGCCGTCATCAAGAAGCGCGTGCTGGAGGAGGGCGCGCTGCAGCCCGTCATCAACCTCCTCTCATCAAGCTGCACAGACTCGCAGCGAGAGGCGGCGCTGCTGCTGGGGCAGTTTGCCACAGGTGGGCCACAGGGGGCCACAGGGGGTCAGGGCCTGGCGCCCGACCTGCCGCACCGCCGCTGCCTGGCGCCGCTGCCTGGCGCCTCTCTCCCTTCGCCTGCCCCGCCCGGCTCCTGCCCCTGCCCACCGTGCGCTCCCCCCCTCCTCCCCCGCCTACAGCCGAGGGCGACTACAAGCACAAGATAGTGCAGCGGGGCGCGGTGCCGCCGCTGATAGAGATGCTGAGCAACGACGACAACCAGCTGCGGGAGATGGCGGCCTTTGCACTGGGCCGCCTGGCGCAGAACAGCGACAACCAGGCGGGCATCGTGGCGCAGGGGGGGCTGCCGCCGCTGCTGGACCTGCTGGAGACGTGCCAGTCCAACCTGCAGGTGGGTTCAGGGGTGTGTGTGGGGAGAGAGGGTTGCCGCCGACGGGGCCTGCAGGCAGGCAGGCCGGCCAGCGGCGCATGCACAGCAATGCACAGCATGTGCCTCCCTCCCTCGCAGCTCCCACCCATGCTCACCGCCCCCCCCCGCCTCCCTCCCCACCCTCACTTCCCCCCGCAGCACAACGCGGCCTTTGCGCTGTACGGCCTGTCCGACAACGAGGACAACCTGCTGGAGTTTGTGAGGGAGGGCGCGGTGCAGCGCATCCACGAGTGCGAGCTGGTGGTGCAGGCGTCCAAGGACTGCGTCAACAAGCTGACCAAGCGGCTGCAGGTGGGGGCGGCCGCCAGGCAGCCGTGCAGGCGCAGGCGCAGGGGCGGCCGGCGCCGCTCGCTCATCCCCGCAGCCTGGCCACTGTGGCCTTGCCCGCGTGCCGGCTCGCGCCTCGCCCGCAGCTGGGCTGCCGGCTGCCCTCCGGCCACCACCCAGAGGCGCCTCTCGGCCCGCCTCTCCCCCGCCCGCCCTCACCCCGCGGCCCCCTGGCGCTGCCCGCCCCGCCCCGCCCCCCCCTCCCTGCGCCCCAGGACAAGCTGTCCACACGCATCCTGGGCCAGATCATGTACGTCATGCAGTCCAGCCAGGCGGCGGGCAAGCAGCGCATCGCGGTGGCTCTCTCCCAGCTGACCTCCAAGGAGCAGCCCAGCGGCGCGCAGCTGCGCCTCATCTTCCTGGAGAAGAAGGCGCTGGACGTGCTGCTGGACATGGTGCAGGTGTGTGTGGGGTGGGGTGCTGTCATGTGGAAGCTGCTGCTGCACGGGGTTTCACTGGTGGGCTGGGTGCGTGTGCGGGCTGCATGCACTGAGCACCGCTCCTGGCTGCCCGCAGGACCCTCACATGCCCGTGGACATGCAGCGCTCCGCCGCCAAGTCGCTGTACCGCCTGGCGGAGAGCTGCGGGGCGGCTGACCGCGCGTCGGTGGACGACATCATGCCCAAGGAGCCCACGGTGGGGGGCGGGCGCGGGGAGGTGCGCATTGTTTCGGGGGGGTGGGGAGGTGTGCTGGCCGGAGCTACCGTCCCTGCCGGCGACTCCGGCCTGCCCGGCCGGCTGCGCGGCCAGTGGCACGGATGCCTCTCAGCCCGCGTCCTGCTGCCTCTGCCCAGCGTGCACGCTCTTGCGCAAGCGCTCCCCGCCCGCCGTACCCCCCCACACACCCACTACCACGCATCCCTCCCACCCCCGCCTGCAGCAAACGCTGCTGGGCGTGGCGTATGTGAACAACCCCAAGTCCAGCGACGTCACGTTTGTGGTGGAGGGGCGCCCCTTCCACGCGCACCGCGCGGGCCTGCTGGGCAGCTCCGAGATCTTCCGCACCATGTTTGACGGGCACTACCGCGAGAAGGACGCCTCCACCATCCCCATCCCCAACATCCGGTGGGAGGTGTTTGAGAAGATGATGGTGTGCATCTACACAGGTGGGGCGGCGCGCGGGGGCGTGGGGGGCTGCCTGCCTGCCTGCCCCGCTGGGCCGCACCCAGCTGGCAATCGGCGCCCACGCTGCGCACCGCCGGCGCCAGTTCCTACCCTCCTGCAACCCTGCAACCCACCCACTCGTCCCCTCCCCCGGCCCCCGCCCCCGCCCCCTTGCGCCAGGCAAGGTGGAGGTCACCCCGGATCTGGCCCAGGAGCTGCTGGAGGTGGCCGACCAGTACATGCTGGAGACGCTGAAGCACCTGTGCGAGCAGGCCATCACTGACCAGCTGGCACCCGACAACGTCAGCGCCGCCTACGACCTGGCCGACAACTACAATGCGCCCGAGCTGAGCAAGCAGTGCGCGCTCTACTGCCTGCGCGAGCAGCCCGAGATGGTCAAGGGGGGCAGCAAGACCACGCCCGCCTCCTACGCAATCGTCATGCAGGTGCGGGGAGGGGGGGTGTGGGGGTGGGGTGGGGTGGGGTGGGGTGGGGAGGCAGGCCGGCTGAGGCTCAGGGGCAGGGAGGGGCCCGGCCGCGTGAGCACGCGCTGGCTGCTGCGGCAGCTGCACAGCTGCGCGCTGCTGCGCACTCACAGTGCGTGCCCCCCGCCCGCCGGTGCCCCTGTCGCGTGTGCGTGCAGAAGATGGCGCCGCGCCTGCGGGAGGCCGTCACAGACGCCATCAACGAAAAGAGCAACGCCATGGTGTCGTGAGCGGCGCGCCTGGCACCCCCCCGGGCCCTCTTTAACTGGTGCCCGGGGGCGCCGCCGCAGCCGCCGTGGTGTGACCAGCCCCCCTTGAGCCTTGCTGCCTTCCCTTTGTGCCGCACCCTTGCCATTCCTTGCTGCTGCCCTCCCAGCTCACCTCCTCTCACGGCTCCTTGCTTGCCCCCTCCTCGCTCTGTCTGTACGCTGCTCTCCGGGCAGCGATGTGCCTGCCGTGTAGTCATATTGTGTGGCCTGCCAACCTCTTGCCCTCCCTCCCCCTTCTGACCAGTGCTGGGGACGATTCCTTTTCTCTCAGGCTATTAATGGACTGCGGTCCCTTTCAGTACAGCCAGTTTTCCCTAGAGCAGGCACAGCCTTTTCTGTAACGATGAAGAGGCGGGGCGCGGCACTGGTGGCGGGCGGGCACGATGGAGCTGGCTGTGACTGGCCGGATTGAGGTGGGTCAAGGAGATGAAAGAAGCTGAGGAGTCTCGGGGGATCAATGGGCAGAGGCACATAATGCAAGGCAGCTGCCTGCACGGCGCCAGATGGCGGGAAGCTCCCGCCAGCTGGCCACCCGGTCCCCATGTCTCGACCCGAAAGTTTCGGCCGCGACCCAATTCAGCTCGCATTCTCAAGTCACAAACACTGGTTCTGACTCAACCTCCTGCTTCCGGTCCCCCCTGCTGTGTTGTTTCGCAAGTGCCCGCTCCAAGCACACCCCCAGGGCAAGAGCCGGAGAGCAGCCACTTGTGGAGATTAGCCGCTTGTGAGAGCGGAGAGCAGCCGCTTGTGGACTCAGTCGATAGGCAACGCCCCATCCCGTGCACCCCGCCCGCCGCCGCCCGGCAGCCATCATGCCCACCGTCCTCTTTGTCTGCCTGCCCCTGGAGGGCCACCTGCGCCCTGTGACCAACGTGGCCGCCGCAGTGCAGCGACTGGGGGTGGATGTCGAGTTTGCGGCGCTGGAGCCGAGCCGAGCCACTGTGGAGTCGATGGGGGTGCCGTTTGTGTCCCTGGGCTCTGCCGAGCGCAAGACCAGCAAGATGGGGTTTGCGGAGCGCGTGGGCGACACCTCGACCCCGCCCGTTCCCCTGGACCAGTTTGTCGACAAGGCCGGGGCCAACTTTGCCGGTGAGCAGGGCTGGGGCGGCGCAGGGTGGCGGCCTTTGGCGGCATTGGCGAGGCGCTGCATCCAGCGGAAGGCCCTGCGCCACCCGGGCCCACCATGCAGGCTGGGAGGAGGCCGTGTACCCGCTGCTCCAAGCACACATGGACCGTGCTGGCGGGCGCTACGCTGCCATCGTCTCCGACCAGGCAACCATGGTGGGTGGGTGGGTGGGTGACGGGATCAGCCTGCTGCGCACCTTTACCGACGGCTGCTGCCCTGCACCCGCATGCCCTGCTGGCCAACCACCCCCGCCTGCGTTGCCATGCAGGCTGCCCACGACGCCGCGGCCGTGGCGGGCCTGCCGCTGGTGTCGCTGTACCAGCTTCCGCTCAGCTACTCTCTGGTCATGGGCGGGCACAACGAGTACAACATGCCTCGCTCCGTGCCTGTGGAGCTGCCCTGCTGCGTGCTGCCAGAGGCCATGACCTGGCTGCAGTACGCCTTCACCAACCCTGCGCTCAAGAGGCGCGGCGCGGCGCAGATCACCGCGGCCTACGGCCGCCACCGCGCCGCCGCGCGCGAGCGCCTGGGCCTGCCGCCGCTGCCGCCGTCCAGCGGCCCCTTCCAGCCGCCGCCTGGCATCCCGCGCAGCATCACCATCGTCGGCGGCATGATGGAGCTGGTGAGGAGGCGGGCACCGGGAGCCCCAGCAGCGGGCGGAAGCGAAGCCCTAGTTGCTGCTGGTTGCTGCCGCTGCTGCACAACATGCCACCTGTACTGAACACAGAGCCGCTGCGCGGCTTACCCACCGCAGGAGACCGAGCGGCCGCTGCCCCCCGGCTGGCACATGTCGGGCCCCCAGGTCCTGCCGCCCGTCACGGCGCCGCCGGTGCTGGATGGCGACAAGGATGCCGAGGTGGCAGCCTTCCTGCGTGCGGCACAAGGTGCGGGGTTGTGCATGCGCGGGTGTGGGGCCAGCTAGGGGCCGCCTGGCCTGCGCGACTCATGCACGGCCGCTGCATCGTTCTCGCAATGTTCCATGCTCCCTCTCGTCAGCCACACCACCACCACCACCACCCACCTCGCCTCCCGACCCTCCCGACTCCCACGCAGACGCCGGCGAGCCTGTGGTTTACGTGGCGCTGGGGTCGCTCGTGACGCCACACGAGGCGCTGGTGCACGCCATGGCGGCGGCATTCCAGGCGGCGCCGGGGGCCCGCTTCCTGTGGGCGCTGCGCCAGGCCTCCCACGCCTTCCTGCCCCCCGACCTGGCGCCGCCCGCTGGCGCCGGCGGCGGCAAGGTGCTGGTGGTGTCGTGGGCGGCACAGACGGCGGTGCTGGCCCACCCTGCGGTGAAGCTGTTTGTGACGCACGGCGGCCTGGGCAGCCTGTCGGAGGGGCTGGCAGCGGGCAAGCCGCTGGTGGCGCTGCCCTTCTTTGCCGACCAGCACGTCAACGCGCACCACCTGGCCAACCGCAAGCTGGGCACGTACGTGGACGCCTCGCCCGCCGCCGTCGGCAGCCTGGCGCGGCGGCTGAGCAAGGCCATCGGCGAGCTGCTGGGCGATGCCGGCACGGCGCAGCGGGCGGCGCAGCTCGGGGAGAAGCTGCGCAGCTGCAACGGCGCAGAGGTGGCTGCACGCAGGATCGCCCAGTTTGTGGGGGAGGCTGCTGGGGGCGGCGCGGCAGAGGTTGGCGACACGTCGGCAGAGTAAACGCTTGTGGGACAATCAATCAATCAATGCACGTTTTGCATGCCATTCAGCCATACACTGTTGTCGGTCGGTCCATATCATGATATCAGTGTCCTGAATCGAGTCGGAGTATCGAGGCAAATTGCAACGCAAGCAACTGTGCAACTCGAGAAGGGACGCGCCCAAGAAGGGGCGGTGCCGGGCGTCAGGCCTGGAGCGAGGCGGTCGAGGCGCTGCTGCCGTTGGCTGCCAGGCTGCCGCCGCTGCCGCCCGCCTGCTGCTGCTGCTGCTGCTGCTGCTGCTGCTGCTGTCGTAGCTGCCGCGCCTCGGCATACTTGGCGCTCAGGTGCTGCATGACCACCTTCTGGGGGGTGCCCGCCGGCAGCTCCTTCCTCACTGCACAGCCAGGCGCGGCAGGGAGTGGAGGGGCACGCGGTGGGTGGCCTGCTGCCCGCCTGCTGCGCCTGGCTGGCAGCGCTGCGTGCGCGCACAGGCACGCTGGATGCACAGCGTACAAGCAGGCAGGCAGCCACAGGCCAGCGCCAGGCGCCCACCCCACCCTGCGCGTGGTTGTCCTTGACAAACTCGATGAATTTGGATGTGGCGGCGGAGCGGGGCTTGGCGGGGGTGCCGTCGGCCTTGAAGCGCCCCAGGAAGGCCAGCGGGGAGCGGCAGGCGCCGCACACCTTCTTGGCCACGTCGATGCTGTTGCTGTGCCGCCCATACTCCTGCAGGCACCCGCTGTTGGTGCACTGCCACCTGCGCGGGAGGAAGGACGGCACGCCAGCGTTGGGGGGCGGACGTCGCAGCGGGCACGGCGGGCTGGGTGGGCCGTGGGGGCGGTGGCAGCGGGGCCAGCAAGGCAGCCAGCCGTCCCCTATGGCCCTCACCATCTCCAGCGCCGGCGCCGGCGCCAGCGCCACAGCAGCATGCCACCCGCAGGGGTAGGCCCGGCAGGCGGCCACCTGAAGGGGTAGAAAATTTCGTAGGCGTGGCAGGTGGTGATGTCTAGGTGCGTGTACAGGCGCATCGCCTTGTCGGCCCACGCCTTGAACACGGGCCCGTGCGGCGGCTTGGCGGTGTGGTTGACCAGCCAGGCGGCCACGTGGCACAGCTCGTGGCACAGCGTGCGCTCCAGCTTGCTGAACCCGTCCAGCACCTTGCTGCTCAGCTCCACGCGCGCGGTGTAGCTGCGGGGCGGGGCGGGGCGGGGCGGGGTGCGGCGGGAGCTCGGGGGTGGTGGCCTGGGCGGGCCAGCGGTGGCAGCCTGCTGGCGCGCAGCCCGGCCGGAGCGTAAACCCCGGCTGGCCAGCTTGCTCCAGGCCCCCTCCCACCCGCTCCCCTCCTCAGCTCACATGGGCGGCGCATACGGGTCATCGGGGATCTCGCGCCGGTAGTGCGTCAGCCCCGCCGTCGTCAGCAGCCGCGCATTCCACCTGAGCTCCAGCCCCGCCGGCAGCTGCCCTTCAAACACGGTGCGGTTGAACTCCTGGAACAGCTGCGCGGTCAGCTCCTCCCGCTGCTTCTTCCAGGCTGAGGCGGACAGCGGGCGGGACCCCGGGGCTGCCGCTGTGACGCCGCCGCCGTGCGGCGGCGGTGGCACCGCGTGCTGCTGCGTGGGCTGCCGGCTGCGGGGCGGCGGCGCGGCGGGCGCCGGCCGCTGCTGGCGCGGCGGCGGCGGCGCCGGTGCAGCAGCCGCGCCAGCGAGCGAGGGGATGGCGGCAAAGAAGGGCGGCAGCTCGGCTGGGTTTCCACCCTCGCCATCCTCCTCCTCCTCCTCCTCCTCCTCCTCCTCCTCCTCCTCCTCGCTGTCTACCACTACCCTGCACACAAGCAGCCGGTCCAGGGGAGTCGTCATGCAGCTGGGCAGCGCCAGTGCTAGCACAGCCTGCGTGCACGGAAAGCAGTCAGTGGCCCCACTCTACCGCTCAGCTCTCCCTGCCATCCAAGGCTCCCACCCGTGCTCACCGCTTGCGTGCAGTGCTGGGCGCCGCTATGCTCCACTCCTCGTCAGAGTCGCTGTCACTGCTGTCAAGAATCTCTATGACCTCTGGCTCTGCTGCTGGCGGCGCACGTTGCGGTGGCGGCGGCAGGCGGGCCTCCGCCGCCGCTCCCGCCGCCGCTGCAGGGCCAGGGCTGCTGGCGTCCAGGCGTGGCGAGGCATGTGGCCGTGACCTGCTGGGCGAGCAGTCTGCCTCTGAGTCGTCGGTGTCCCAACCAAATGGCCGCTTGCCCCGCGCGGGCACTATGTGCAGCTCCTCTAGCAGCTCCTGCAGCTCCTCAGAGTCCACGCTAGATGGGGCCGGCGACCAGCCGCCATCGCCTCCAAGCGGCAGCGAGGAGCTGGCCGTGACGAAAACCTCACCGCCGTCGCTGTTTCCCGACATCTAATGCACCAGAGACAAGTTGTGATGCACGGGGCGAAAAAGGGAGATGTCAGAGTTTGAGCGGCGCCAGGCGGCCGCTCGCCGCCAGGCGGTTGTGCATTTTGGGGTCTGCTTGCAATTTGGGTAGCTTTGTGCAGAATTTGTGGGGGATTAGACTCACATCAGCTTGATCATGTCAAATCTCGAATCCGGCAGCAGCACGAAGCGCAACGGGCTGAAACGCAGCCCACGAAGCGGTATGCGTCCAGGTTGGCTGGCGGCTTGCAGCGCCGGCCAGGAGTGCAGAATGAGAGCTTCATGTATGCTGATCGCTCTGTGTATTCAGATGCAACCTATTTCGCGTTCAGCCTCAATCAACAATCAGGGAGGGTCGCAGGGCGGCAAGGGCGCCGCCACGCTGTGCGCACGCTCGGCGCCAGGTCAGATGAGCCCTGCAAGCCCTTTGGACCCTCCAGATACCCTCTTCGTTCGCTCTGACGCTTCCCACGCAACCCTGACCACCTTCTGGCTCGGTTAGGCACAGGCGGCAGCCATGATCGTGATCAGCTTGGACTAAGCTTCACCCCTGGTGCGCACGCTGCCTGGGTGACTGTAGGCTGAACCGGGCAGACGAAGAGAGGCTTGAGGGCCGGCGCGGCTTTTCCTTCTCCCGCGCGCCGCCGCCCACCGCCCGGCACGCAGGACATCCTGCTCCGCCCTCTGCCCTCCTCCGCGCTTGTTGCCATCGCCATCATGATCAGTGCGCCCATACTCATGCTGCAGGGAGCCTCCCAGTGAAAGCAGTTCCATCCAGGCGTGACAGGCGGAAGGGCGGGGCACCTGCGCTCCTCGCGGCTGCCCGCGGCCGCCATGTCTGGGGGCCTGCAGTACCGCAAGTCGGCGTCGTTTGGCGGCGCCAGGGCCAAGGCTGCCGTTGACTGGGAGGCGTTTGATGAGGCGCTGGCCCGGGTGGACCCCTGCTTCTCCGACCCTCGCTTCGACTCGCTCAAGCATGTGCTGACGGTGCTGAGCAGCAACAATGCGGAGCAGGAGGTGGAGGAGGTGCGTGCTGGGCGGGGCGGCGGCACGCCAGCTCACCCAGCTTTGCCGCTCGGTGCACTCCGGCAGGCAGCGGCTGGCGGGGCGCTGGGCTGCCGGGACACAGCCTTGGACCGCCTCCTCCGCCTGCCGCCAGCTGCCAGCCGCCAGCCGTCCTGACGCCCGCCCTGCCTCCCCCTGCCGCCTCGCCCTGCCCTGCCCTCGCGCCCCACACTGCCGCAGCTGCGGGAGCAGCGTGCGGCCATCGAGGAGCTGGTGGATGCTGTGGTGGAGGGCTACCACGCCGGCTTCAACAAATCCATCCACAACTACTCCCAGATACTGCGCCTCTTCACAGAGTCCAAGATGCAGGTGGGGGGCGGCGGGGGCGGGGTGCGGTGTGTGGTGTGTGTGGGGGGGTGGCTGGGAGGTGGGAGGGAGGCGGCTGGGAGGTGGCAGGGAGGCAGCACGACCCCAGGGGAGTTTGTG